CCCCCCCCGTGCACTTGGTACCTTCCTGAGCATGTGCGCGCAGGAAGGTTTTCTTTTTTTTTACATTGACTCCATTGACTGTCACGAGTGGTTGTTTAATATTTAATTGTTTGGTTTTTATTTTACCCTCCCCCCATTATCTAGTTTAAAAGCTCCTCCAGTCGTTTAACCGTTTTCCCCCCTAGACCTCCGGTCCCGACGTCCGGTCCGCCGCTCTCTGGATCGGCCACTGCTCCTCCCTCATGGTTCCTCGCCCTCCGGTCCTGGATCTCTGGTCCTGTCACTCTCAGCTCCCGCACTCTCCCGCACTCACTCCCTGCACGCCACACGGGTGCGCGGGCGTGCTCACTGCACGAATGACTTCCGGCTCCGGTTCACAGGTCACGAGTGGAAAAAGCTTAAGAAGGCCTGATCTAGAGGAATGTTCTGCTCAAACCTTATTTACATCACTACCTTGCATGCTGAGGTTAAATAAACCTAGAAAAACAAACTTACCCTCCCTGACCCCAACAACCGTAACCACATGCGACTCCTTACTGAAGACCAAACAATTCTCTACAAGACCAGGCCCTATTATACCCTTGTTTTCATATTCCATATTTTATTAATTATACACATTTCCTATCATGGTCTTACCAGGGCAGGACAGAATTAGACTAGAACAAGAACAGACCATAAAATCCAATCGCTTAACCACTTCAAGACCAGGTGTTTAGACCCCCTTCCTGGCCAGGCCATTTTTCAGTATTCAGCGCTGTGGTACTTTGACTGAAGTTTATTCCGTCATACAACGCTGTACTGAAATGAATTTTATACCATTTTTTAGGGACAGATAGAGCTTTATTTTGGTGGTATTTAATCACCACTGGGGGTTTTATTTTTTACTATAATTAGGAAAAATTAAAGAAAATTTTGAAAAAAAAAAGTTTTTTTTAACATTATGTTAGGAAACATTTATTATTACCCAGTTTTTTGGTAAAATATAAAAGATCGGGTCACGTCGGGTAAATAGACACCAAACATGTCAAGCTTTAAAATTGCGCGCACCCGCGAAATCGCAGAAAACTACCATACCCAAAATTGGCCAAAATTACCGCTCATCAGTTTAGTGTTATCAGTGATTGATGGCCCTAGACTTATTGCTCTCACTGCATGTAACATGTGTGGCGTAATGGGCGCAATCGTCGTTTTTGCACGTATGCGCCCCCAACGCATGTTTGCATGTGTGTATGTATGGGTGGAGACTTATCGCTCGCGCGCGCCCAGCTCAAAAGACGCCCGCTCAGATCTAGAGAGCTCCGGGCCGGCCGTTTTTTTTACTACGGCCGGCCCGGAAGTGGTTAAAGATTTAGATATTCATAGTAACATAGTATTTGAGGTTGAATAAAGACACCACTGAGTTCAACCTATTGTGTGTCTGTGTGTGATTATGCTTGTTTGTGTGTGTGTGTGTGTGTGAGTCCCTGTGTGGTCTAGTTTTTAAGAGTACCTGTACCCCTGTATGTTGTGGTCTCTAAAGAAGGTATCAAAATGCTTTTTGAATGATTCAATACTCTCTGCTGATACCACTGCTTCTGGCAAAGAGTTCCAAAATGTAACGGCTCTAACTGAAAAGAATCCGCCACACCCTTTGTGGATAAACCTCCACCAATTTTAGGTAGTAGCCTCTAGCCCTTGTTATGGAGTTTACAGTAAGAAATGTGTTGCTGATGTTGCTATCACCACTAAACATTTTGTACATCAAAATCATGTCCCCTCCTAATCGTCTCACTTCCAGCGTGAATACGTTTAAATTTAACAGCCTTGTCTCATAGCTTTGGTCCTCCAGCCCCTTAATTATTACATCTGCACTAATTTGATTGCCATAGGTCACCTACATATTGGAGATGTAATTTGGATGTAATCTGGTAGGTATGCCCCCTAATGCATTCATTTTGGGAACAAAAATTCTACTGATTTACACCAAGGTTACAGGGTGTACTCTCCCTAACTCTCAATAGCTCACGCTGCTATCCACCTTACTTGGATCCAACAAGGCAATAAAACAATGGCCGCGGTGGCATTTCCTTACAGCCATCAGAACAGTCATCCCATGAAGGAAGAGGACCACAACTCTGTCTGTCACAGAGTGGGTTTGCAAATTAAACCTAATATGTAAAATTGAAGAACTAATCTCCTGGGAGAATGATATGCTGGACAGGGTCATGCATACCTTGATCTCCTGGATTAAGCTTAAATTCCTAAATGTTCATCAGCTTTCCAAGTTTCCAAGTATATGTATATATATACTGAGTGGCCAGATTATTATGACCACCCCATCAGTACTTCGTTGGGCCACGAGATGACTTTATTCGCCACGGCATTGTTTCGATAAGCTTATGCAATGTCACAACATTATTTCCATCCAGAGTGGCATTCATTTTTCACCAAGAACTTGTAGTGATGATGGGAGAGTCAGACCACTGCGTAAAGTCTTCTCCAGCACATCCCAAAGATTCTCTATGGGGTTAAGGTCTGGACTCTGTGGTGGCCAATCCATGTGTGACAATGATGTCTCATGCTCCCTGAACCACTCTTTCACAATCTGAGCCCGATGAATCCTGGCATGGTCATCTTGGAATATGCCCAATGTACCATTAGGATGAGAAAAAAATCCATTAATGGAAAAACCTGGTCATTCAGTATATTCAGGTAGGCAGCTGGGCTAATTATTTGGGGACATAACATTGCTGAACCTAGACTTATTATCCAATGGAATGCTAAATCAAGGTGGTGACTTTTTTTGGCCAGACAGTGTATATTAAAAGGAAAGATAGAAGCCCTTGAAATAATGCCTCGGTCATAATTTGTAAGAAAACAATTTTTTTTCAATGATGTCAACAAGTTTCTCGCTGACGATCTATAAATGTATATTTTTACGTTACTCATACATTATCCTCTATAGAAATTCCAACCATAACAATGATGAATTGTGTGTCTCTTTATGACAGGTCAGTGCAGCTAAACGGACAGCACCTTGTTATGGTAGATGATGGAACGCTTCCAGACTTCAAACCCAGGCAGCTACGACCCGGACGTACAATTGCAATTCCTCCTTTAAGCATAGGCTTTTATGTGGTAAAGAATGTAAATGCTGTGGCTTGCAGGTATCGGTAGTTAACATTTTCGCCATGATTTGTATGAGCACAGTTTAGAAAGCTACAACCAAAGCTATGATTCAGTACAAGGTAAAACACCAGAACCTTCTGCTTTAAAATGTTCCAGGCATGCAAATAACTCCAAGGCAGATTTAGCGAAACCTGCCACTTGCAATGTCTGAATGTGTCAAACATGCAGCTGGGGAGACTACACAGGTCCATCGTACTCCCTTTAGGGGCATATAAATATTGCAGAATTATCACATCTGCATGAACTAAGTTTATAATTCCACCAACAGTTAGTTCTAATAAATGAATAACATATACATTTCCTGTGCTCTCTTTTTAGCTGACTCGTGAGCATGGTTTGCATAGGAATGCATGCCATGGGCAATCCAATGCAGTGTGCAGTAAATATAGCAATGTATATTTTTTTGTTATTTAATTGTTTTATCCATTCATATAGCTCTGACATATTCTGCAGAGTTTTACTAAGAACATTGAACCATTCACTGGAGCCCATAAACAAAGATGCCTAAAATGACACTAAACTCAGGAGTTAAATCATAAAAATGCATTCAAGTACCTTAACTATTAACAAAAATGCATCTTGTTTGTGTGTCACTCGGCTGTAGATCCTCAAATCATCTCTGAATTGGTGCTGACACTGTCCTTCCTTCTGGAGGGTGGCTACTTCTGTTCCCCATGGTCTCTGTGTGTGTTGTAAAGTAACCACTGCTCCAAGCTCGTTCCTGTGATGGACTACAATCTCAATTACAAATGAGTAAACTAAGCATGAGATTGTAGTCCATCACGGGAGCAAGCCTGTCCATTATAGTTAAAATGCTTTTGGCTTGTGGGAGAAAATCCTTACAAATTCCATGTTTATAGTGTGAGTGTCCACTAAGCAACTGTGCTAAATAGGCCAGTAATTGGCTCTAGCGCAGAATAATTAAAATGTCTCCCGTGAATCCTAATATGAACAGGGATTTTTGCTTTACTAAGATTAAGACACATTTAGTAATTTGTCCCATTGCAGGACTGTTCGATTGTTCCACACAATTGCTGCTCAGTCATAAAGTCACAATTGCTGCTCAGTCGTAAAGTCACCACAGGGTCACTTGTACAGAAAGCAAAACCATGCGAAAAAGGGGCTATGTACTCACCTTTCCAGTGGCCTATGTGTGGAACGCTGCTGCTCAGTTTCTTCGTTCCCACTGCAGATATTCCACATTTCTGACTGTGTAGATTACATGCTCCCCAAATGCACTCAGTGGTTCCTTCTCCTGGCTCATACCTCCTGTACTGACATAGGAGCCACTAAGAGGGACCAATAAGAGGTGGGGGTAGCTGGTATTCAACCCAGCCAAAGCGCTGGATACATGCAATGGCCAGGGAGAAGCAAACTAGCAACATTTGCACACATGGGCCACCACCGCACTCGGCGTGTGAATTATCATTAAAAAGCTGTATGTTATTTGTGTAGGGCCATTGTAAAGTATAAAAACCTTACCTTGCAGCATGCTGTCTCCTGCACATAATGCTGGGCTTCTGGGCACTGAGGGGAGTGTGCAATGCAACTTAAACGGTAAAGTGCTTTGGTCGCATCACCTTCTCCTTCTCACTATTGTTCACAATGAATACAAGGCGTTCTGTGATTGGAGGAGGGGAGGGGGTGTGAATGTGACATCATATCCCCTCCTCCAATCACAAACTGCCTTGTATTTTTCTCAAAGAACCTCAGAATGTCTTGTATTCTTCAAAAACAGTACAATGGGCATGTAGTGAGAAGAGGCAGGTGATGCAACCAGAGCACTACACTGCTTGAGTCGCATCCCTCATTCCTCACAGTGCCCAGAAGACAAAGTTATGTGTAGAAGTTTTGTTTTGTAGAGAGTAAAGTTTAGAACCTCTATATCTCTACTGGAGACATACAAAGTCATAAAACATGAACAGAACTTCTTAATATTACCCGGTCTACTGAAAACAAATGCTTTTATTGATGTCTGTGCTTCTGCTGGAGATATTCTGCTCATATTCTGTGGCAGTGACAGGAAGTCAGAGGAAATTTCCCCACAGGAAACATAGACAGCAATAAAAATCTGGAGGTGATTACCCTTCTTACCACAAGACAGACAAAGAGTGGTCTACTGCCTACCTCCAATGCAGTTCCATGGAACACTGGTGCTCAACCAAGGCTTCCACCAGCCCTCTGTCATAAACGGTGAAAATAAGTGTTTGTGCATGGTTCTGGATCCAGTAAAATTTTCTTTTATTTAATCAAGGCATAAAACCCAGACATAACAACATAACAATGCCACTTGGCGGGATTGTAGTGTCAGGGTCTGTGCCTTTATTCAGGGCTGTCCCAAAGAATCTGCTGATGTTCTTTGGGTGCTGGAAAGGAATGGTCCTACTGACATCGCCGGTTGCCAGGAGCTCAGCAGGATGCAAGCCAGAGCATCCCACTCAGCTACTGGCAACTGGTGGCATCAGTGAGCTGGGCAGGAAACCACACATAGCATCACAGGTTGCTAGGACCTGGAAAACTGTGGCCACCCCCCCACCACCTGGCCACCCCCCAGTGACATGCCTCATTATAGGGACAGCCCCACCTTCATTAAATAAAGAAGATTTTTACTGGCTCTGAAATCATGTGCAAACACTTTTTTCCACTGCTTACTCTTCCTTGCCTGTACTTTTGCTGGAGTTATCCTGCTCACTTTCTGTGGCAGTGACCACACAGGAAGTGAAGGGAAACTGCTCCACAGGGGACACAGACCATAATAAATACCCAATAGGGATCGTTGCACTTCCCCTCCATAGCCGCACATGCACATGGGCTGAAGCTCAATTGGTCATTCCGTTCTGGTAACACATAAATGGGTTCTGTTCCATAGGTGGATGGGGGCGTGCCAGGATGTGACCATATGAGCTCATTTAAAGTAGGGAACCTCTTGAAACCATTAAAGAAAGCTAGTTTTCTATTCTATTTCTCACAGAGTAGCGCTTTCTGTGTGACATCAATATTCACTTGTAGGTCAGCAGCAACAAGGTAATTTATGTACCGTGAACTTGCAGAAATTGTAAAACGTTAATTGAGATCAGACAGCAACATGTTCATAAACATCTGTAAAAATTCTACTTGGCACCCCAACTGCTCTGCTCTCCCTGGGCAGGAAGGGCTTGTGGGTCATCTTTCCCAATGCTACTTCCATTAAACACCACACACAGCAGGGAGGTGGCAGACTGTAATCCAGCACTGTTAGAGAGTTTGACTGAATTATGATACCAAATAGGGGTCATAGTTTTCCTGCTTTCCCACTAAGTAGAATTCTGCGGAATTTTCACAAAACCATTTTATACAGATGGAGAAACTTACAATGTAAATAGACATTATAAAGCATAGTCATGTCTGTAATGCATATGTTCTTCATCCTGGTAAAACCATTTATACATCTTTTGTGGATTTATTGTTTTATTTTTTATTTTTTGTTCTGTTTCCCTTCAATCTAAACCTTGCACAATAATTATTGCACCTGTTAATAGTGTATTGTTGTGGATTTAGGCTATTGAATGTTGTTGCATAGCAGAAATTATTCAGATAAAATCAGTGCAAGGTTAAATAGCATGGAGGATACAATGACCAACATTATGCTGACATGTACCTGTTAAAGTGACTGTAAACTCAGGAGTTAAATCTTAAAAATACATTTAAGTACCTTCACTATAACAAAAATGTATCTTATTTGTGTATCACTCGGCTGTAGATCCTCCAATCATCTCTGAATTGGTGCTGACACTGTCCTTCCTTCTGGAGGGTGGCTACTTTTGTTCCCAATGGTCCCTGTGTGTGTTGTAAAGTAGTCACCACTGTAAGCTCGCTCCTGTGATGGACTACAATCTCAATACAAATTAGTAAACTAAACCTGACATTGTAGTCCATCAAAGGAGCGAGCTTAGAGTGGTGACTACTTTACAACACACACAGGAGTGGGCAAGGATACCTACACCGAGACTAGTGGGCAATCTGGCAAATAAAGATTGTGGTTACCCAATTAGTTTTACAAGGGGCTGAAGGGGCTGATGAGAATAGATTGAAAAATGGTTA